GAAAGAGGAAAAGAAAGAAAAAATAGGAAATACGTTTGGAGAAACGAGATATTTTTGAAGATGACTTCAGCAAAAACTAACAAAGGAATGAACATGCAGTATGAGTAGTCACATAACTTGAATTCACTCCTAATAAAAAAATTCAAGTCTTACCTCCTCTCTGAAGTCATGTCCTGTGCTATGAGTGTAGCGCACTAAAAGGTCTCTCTCATGGTCTGTAAATGATACATCTTCTGGTGGTTCTATTTCACTCGAGAGGAAGTAGGGAATAAAAGTCACATCTGCATTGGCATCTATCTGAGCTGCTTCCTGTTAACATAGAGACAGATAAATTGTTAGGGCAGATATATAAAAGACAGTAAAAACATTATAATCATAAAACTATTTAATTATTAACTTGCATATGTTGATATCAGGGTTATACATAGAAATTCTTATATATATTGTCTGAATATCTGCCTGTCTTTCATTATTTTCATCTCTCCATTTACCAAGTACCTTCATATAACCACACTCATCTGATCATACTTCATCCACCAAACCAGTCACCTATACATCCACCTATACAATCCATCCACCTATACAATCATGTTCCCCCTTCCTCCTTCCTTTCCTCATCCACACACACTTACACAAGCCTTCAAACTTACCTGAAACAGAGCAGGGATATCAGTAGTTGGTTGCTCAGGTGTGTCCACTGCAATCATGTCCTCCTCGGACCCTTCAATCACAGCTGAAGCCTCTACTCCTTCTCCACCACACCCAACAATACCCACAGCGCCACACAGGGCCTCATTAGCATTGGCATCTCCCTGAGAGCAAGAGTGAGTTGTCTTAATTCCTTGAAGTGGTATTGTGATTTTGGATATGTTTTATAAGAATCCTTGTGACTATCATGATTTGTAGCTTTACAGTTTATGAACTATTACCAGCATCTGTGGCAAATAAGCAGTGTATCCATTTATAGTGGGGGAAAAAAATATATATATGTATCATACATTCACCCAGGATCCAGGTGACATGGAAAAAATCTGGCCAAGGGATGGGTGACAGGATCTCCTTGTCATGGGAAAAAATCTGATTCATGTGCAGGTGACAGGAATGTCTCTTAATGAGACTGACTCCATGGGCCTTCACAAAGGTGCTCATTCAAGAGCTCCAGCAGGATTTCCCCCATTCACAAGGGTGAAGTATACCAGCAATTCATTATGGCTGTTATTTGTTGTTACTTTTATTGTAAAGTGTGTCAACTACTTGGTGAGATAATATGAAGTCTGCCCAATGAAAAGTCTATCATCATATTGATACAGCATAACAAATGACAAACATAGACCCTGAAAAACAGCAAAACAGAAAAAAATGTACTAAAAGCATTTCAAAGGGAGGCAAGGAGACCTGGTAATGCATGTAGGCCAAGCCTCCAAGCCGGGCGAGTCTTCATTTAAGGATGCCTTATGACAAGACATCTCTGTCACCTGGATCAAATGAATTAAGAATACCATTACATCAGCTCAATATCATACCTCGATAATGTTCAGCTTACTCTCCATGCTCTGCGCAACCTCAGTGATAGATGATGTGTTGGAGTTCATGTTGTTTAGATTGCTCATTCCATCGGGCTTCTTGGCCATATTGTCCAGGTACAGCTGCGACGACGAGGCAAAGTTATAGTTGTCCGCATTGCCATTGCCATCATTGTCATTACTGCCCCAGTCATCCTCATCCTCAAACCAAGTCTCCCCGCCCGCTGACTGGGGGGGAACTGCCTTGGTGCCAGGGAGGGACGCCTTGGTTGAAATGGGGTCGGGGATCTGGCTTCTTAGACAGGTCCAGCTGGGGGTAGGATGGAGGAGGTAAGAGGGGTGGACGAGGTAAAGGGAAGAGGGCAAAATGAATGATATCCAGAGGAATGAAATAGTATTTGAATGGGACTGAATAATGATGAGTAATGAAGTGAGTAATGAATGTGGGTATGAATAAAAAATAACATGACAAATCAATTACCCACAGTGAGTGTTTTTAAACAACTATATGATAACAATGTACATCATCATCCATTCTAACTCATACAAAAAACATAGTAATGTCTTTACAAAACCATGGGCAAACTCCTACCTATGGGGACGGTTCCAGCACTCCTGCGTAACACAAGCAAAGATGAAGAGTGTGCGATGGAATGGGCTCCCTTCCAAGGGGCAATAGATCTGAATCACTAAAGACTGTCTTCTGCCACATCTCTTGCATATTGGAACTGATGAGCCACTTATACACCAATCCTATAAAAAGAGAAACTGCTGACTGGCTTTACTTAAATATTTCTATAGATACAATAAAATAATGTTACCGACCTTATCTTAAGGTGAGTAATGAGTGAGTCCTTCATTGTCTTCCTACAATTTCAATCAGTATAGTCTACTTAACCCATTTGCGCCAGGTAAAAATGAACAAAAAATGGGGAAAATGCTGTGCTCATTTTTTATATTTTTTAATGAAATGTCTCTACACTAGATGGCTCTGCCTTACCTGATTTCACCTTTACTTAAATTGGCAGGAAAATGTATTTTTACTAGTGCTATGAATATCAATGGTTATTTTTATTTGAAACATTATAATTACTCTAATGTTATAAACATTAGTAACAGCAAAATAAAATAACGTAAGATATTTTCATAAATTAAAGAAAAGGGTAAACAGGCGAGACAGCCAGTACAAGTACAAGTGTAGCCATCTATGCGTGAAAACAATTAAACAAGTAAACTCACATTGGGCACGTCACATATACGTGACACCTGGCGCGAATGGGTTAAAAGAATCGTATAAAAACATTCCACACATAATACATCAAAACCTTCCTTTCATTTATAACTGTGTCTAATGTATGAGGTTATAATAAGCCATTAATATTAGCACCTTAGTTCATGAGAATAGTGGTATAAGGGATGTCACCTACAAATAATTGCAGTAGATAAAACAACAATCAACAGTTTTTTTTTTTTTTTTTTTTTTTTTTGTGTGTGTGTGTGTGTGTGTATGTGTGTGTGTGTGTGTGTGTGTGTGTGTGTGTGTGTGTGTGTGTGTGTGTGTGTGTGTGTGTGTGTGTGTGTGTGTGTGTGTGTGTGTGTCTGTGTGTGGGTCTGTGTGTGGGTCTGTGTGTGTGTGTGTGTGTGTGTGTGTGTGTGTGTGTGTGTGTGTGTGTGTGTGTGTGTGTGTGTGTGTGTGTGTGTGTGTGTGTGTGTGTGTGTGTGTGTGTGTGTCTGTGTGTGGTCTGTGTGTGGGTCTGTGTGTGGGTCTGTGTGTGTGTGTGTGTGTGTGTGTGTGTGTGTGTGTGTGTGTGTGTGTGTGTGTGTGTGTGTGTGTGTGTGTGTGTGTGTGTGTGTGTGGGTCTGTGTGTGGGTCTGTGTGTGGGTCTGTGTGTGGGTCTGTGTGTGGGTCTGTGTGTGGGTCTGTGTGGGTCTGTGTGGGTCTGTGTGGGTCTGTGTGGGTCTGTGTGTGTGTGTGTGTGTGTGTGTGTGTGTGTGTGTGTGTGTGTGTGTGTGTGTGTGTGTGTGTGTGTGTGTGTGTGTGTGTGTATGAATATATGCATATATGTATTTGTATATGTGTACATATATGTATATATGCATATATGTATATGTATATGTATGTGTATATGCATATGGGTATGTATAAATAAATATAAAAAAATATACATGTATACATATGTATATATATATATATATATATATATATATATATATATATATATATATATATATATATATATATATATATATATATATATATATATATATACACACACACACACAGATCCTTTAGGTATGATTGCAAATATGTACTTTTTAAGCTACTTAAGATACCAATGTGTTGTGGTAGTAGCCAGGCTGCTCAAGCCTACCCTTAACTTTACCAGGTTCAATATGAAGGATAAGGCCTTTCTTTACTTCCACATTATTGAGATATAAGACCATTAATCAGCTAAGCAGAAAATATCCACTTAAAATTGTTAGTGAATCCTGCTACGGCCTTTTCTTTTTTCTGGAGGATATGGAATAACTATGGGAATTCACACCAGAAAATCCTTTGAAATCTAGTTAAGATATTGACAACTGAGTACACATAATATAAATGAATAACGGTATTTTGTTATAAAAACTCTTTATAGACATTAATCTACATACACTAAAGAAGGCCATGTGGTCTACCAAATACTCATTATCTAAATTTAAGGACCATGTTTAAAGTAAAATATATCTTTCCTTGTTCTAACTTCACTTAGAAAAGGCAGTACCTAAATATTTACTGCTATTGACATATCTCTTGAAAAGATATTCACACCATAACCAAAGCCTAAGCCTACTTGAAACAAAGAAACCTGAACAAAGAATTGATCCCAGATTGATTGACAGTATCAAATTAATAGATTTGGTAATTTTGCAACATGCCATTTTACCATACTCAATGAGGATAGAAAAACAATGATTTCTTCCTCTATAAACTGACTATAGCCATGCTTTAACAAAGGATTTTATACAAATACAAGGTGGATTTAGTTAGGTTCAAAAACATTATCATCAGCCATATAATAATCAAGGGATTCTGTTATCAGTGATCAATCCTTTGTCACTGAGCAAGTCAAAACTGAAAATAAATTGGATTAGAGAACAATGATGACAGGTATCACAAATCTATCATTTGCTTTGTGATTAAAATACAAAACATTTTCAATGAACTATGTAGACAGCAAAAACAATAAAACAACTATATAGAATCGGTGAAAGAAAGAAAACATCTTGTTAACCATTTAAATTACATTTGTCTAAAATTTGTGGCGTGTTATTCGCATTATAAAGACTTTACTTTGTGGCCCCGCATTGTCCATAAATATTAAGCAAATAACACTTTATTAGTATTAACGTGATCAAGAGATTACGGGGCAAATATAATCTAGATGGAATTAACGCGAGATACTCACAGGAGCACCACCGATTTTACTCGTGGTA